ATGGTAAACTGAACCATTTTGACCATAACTCAAAAATGATGTTTTTTTTCTAAAATTTGTGTAAGGGCTACTGACCTTGGCATTGCACCATGAAGGCCACTTGGGGTCTTCTTTATGATGCAATATGCTGGCCCCTCTTTCCTAAAAGCATGTCAAAATAAAAGTCCTTTGTTTTTTATTGTGCTGCCTAACATTTGAGGAAGTTGCCATATTTTACAATGTGTTTTTGATTTTGAAGTTTTCAAACAAAAAATTATGCCAAACTATTATATTTAGAATGTTGTACTAAACTAACTAAATCACCTGTTTTGGTCATTTTTACTTTACTTAAATTTATTTAAACGACGTATATGTTTGAACATTTGCCATCTGACATTTTTAGACATTTGGGGCCAAAACAAATTAAAATGAATTTTATACAGACGCACTGAAGGTTGTTTCACATAAATACAGTACTGTGAAATAATTTGATATGTCACATATTTATTTAATTTTTGGGGGAAAATTGAATCATGTTAATAACCCAGATGCACACACATATATAGTATGTAGTAGAGTTCGTACAGCTAAAGATTTGAGCAGGGAATTTTTCTGTAAACACATTACATAACATGTATATTTGCTATAAATTAAAGTAACTACAGCAGAGGATGGTTGGAAAAGTCCTTAGCCAGAGGAATTATGATATGGTATATACAGTGAATACAGTGTTTATGTACATTGCTAATTTTTTGCCTGTTCTAGATTAAACACAGACATCTGAAGCTTGTAAAAGACATTCCATATGTTCCATTTGAAGCTCGTAGAGTACAATTGTAACATTTTTGTTTACTGCGGGACCACACAAAAACTTCAGCGTCTGTACATGCTTAATATGCTCGACTATAGGTTACAATCGTCCTCTTACCAGGACAAGTTTAACACTCTTTTATTTACTATAATCTGGCCTATGGAACAATAACAGAAGTGAAATATAACTATTTATGAAATTTTAAAACTCTTATGAACTTTTAGTGGCCATATTCCTTTTTGAACACAGTCATCTGCAAAAATTACACCCCCCCCCATGAAATGTGTTGTCGTTTTCACACAATCTACAGAGAAAACACTTAAATATTTCTGCTTTTTGCTGAGTTTAACATATTAAAAAATATAAAATAAAAAGTAAATGTGCCATAACTTTTTCACAGGCCACATTTTATGTGTTTTTTTCCCCCAATATGTTAAATTCAGCAAATAAACCGAAACTGTGCATTAAAATGTGCAGAGGTGTGATCACTGTAGAGGACGTGTTAATGTATCCGCATGTAATTTGACTAGGGGTGCCCAAAGTTTTGCATACATTTGTAGTGATGCAAATTTTATTTTTTACACTCTCTTTATGACAAAATGGTAGTCACTACAGGAAGACAGTATTTGTTAAGCTTTTATTTTGTGCATTTGGAAATGTCATAATGTCCATGTGGTTGAATGTTATCAGTCAATCAATGTGTGTCTATTTGACTTGGGCAGTGGTGTAAAATGGACCAGCCAAGCAATGTTTAAACCTGATTCCCTGGACATACACAGCCAAAACTAGCCAGAGTGTGCAGATTGCACCCAAGTCAAATGATTTAATGGTTTTTCTGGGAAACTGGGGTTGATAATGACACCGCAGCCCGTCTCGAATCAATTAAAGCAATTAGGCCTGTGGTATCACTGCGCTATGAAAAGAACAGGTTTATTTCTGCTCCTCTGAAAGGCAGATGGAGCGATGGTCTTATCTACAGCCCAATCTGTTTACAAATGAAAAGTTATATTAATATTGCAATAATGGCATTACACTGAGCTGATAGCATCAGAATAACTTTATATTATCTTGAGCTATTCTGAGTAGCTATTTCAGTGCCTTGTTGCATTTTCAGGGGGTGTAAAAACTATTATAGTTATTTTAATTGACACTGTTGTTGTTATGATATGGCAATAACAGTATAATTACAATGGTGGCAGTAATGACTTTGTGCTAGTTCAGTCAACTTCTGAACTTTAAATGTACTGGATTGTGTCTCCACTTTACAACCCTCAGATGTTAAATAAACTCCTGAGTTACACTGATTCACTTTCGGAATGTATTTGATCACTTCATATGTAGCTTAACTATGAAGGAAGTTAATTTAACACTTCTGTTGGGTTAACTTTTACTGTGTGCAAAGAACAGGCTCTGAAGAGCGAGAGAGGTAGAGAGAGAGAGGGAGAGAGAGAGAGAGATTCCTTTGCAGAGCTTCATAAACGTGTGGAAGAAGGTAGAAAGGCAGGTTTCTCATGAAAGGCGTCTGAGCTGAGCTTTCATTTGCCTGATGCTGGACTTTAATGCGGCGCAGTGCGGATCTCTGACCAAAGCTGGGGCTCTGAGGGTCAGATCTGCATGCTCGGGTGCAGGGTCTTCCCCCACCAGCGCATCTGCATGTGAAATCGGCATTTCACCCCCGCACACTCCCTAATTGTTGTAAAAAATTATTTGTGAAATTGCTTTCCACCAGGAGAGCTCTCCACAGCACTGCTGGCACACGGCGTCCCATTCACACCAGCTCCTACGGAGGTCACACACACACAGGCTTGTTTTTATGCAGTGTCAGGACATAGGGTCCTATATATCCCCTATGTATTATATATACATATGTATGTAAGTATGTATATGTAATAATAATGTTTTTTCATATGTATTGTAAGTGTAACATGTAAGTACCTATACATAATAATGATATGTCATATATATTATATATGTAAATATTCATATGTAATAGTCCAATTGGCATTACATGTATGCAATTACCGATATATAATAATAACACTTCATCTATCTATCTATCTATCTATCTATCTATCTATCTATCTATCTACCTATCTATCTATCTATCTATCTATCTATCTATCTATCTATGTGTACATAAATGTGTGTAATGCTAATGGCACATGACTATTACATATGGATAATTACATGTATAATATATAAGACTTGATATATACTTGCATATATGTGTATGTATAATAGAAAAAAAAAAATATATATATATATATATATATATATATATATATATGCAGACAATGAGAGATGTATATCTATTTGTGATATATTTCATGATTTGTGAAAAATTACTTTTTGTTTCAGTATAAAAAAATAAAACACTTTTATTAAATTCAGGAATATTTTGTCCTGCAGTTCAGTCCTGTTTTCTCTGGTTCTTCTACGAAGTCAGGGACATTTTTTTGGCATGTGCAGTCTAAAAAATTAATTTCACAACTGAATAAATTTAATGCTAATAACACTTTAATAATGATTCATGACCCTGTTCAGTTCTGCCTTAAATGTACTTTAGACATCTATGGTGACCTTCACTAACGTGAATTAGAAACGATTTAACTGGCGTTTTGCCAATCAAAATGTTTTGCTGAAATCTGAAAGATACATGTCCCTGGTGCAGAGCTGTGTCAGGGAGCTGAGATGTGTGTAGATAATAGGAGGATAACAGTCTATTTGAATGATACAGAATGATAGCCTTTTATATCTGAGGTCCTCTTTAATAAACAATAACTTATGCTTTAAAATCCACAGCACAGCAGCACAGCAGTGCACAGTGGTCCATGCTGTCAGAGGTTGAGGACTCGGGTAACACATTCAGCTCGTTACACTCTGATGCTGTACAGGTTGGTGAAAGCTGGGCTGGCGGAGTGTCTGCAGACAGACTCCGTAGAAAAGCTCACTCAACATGACTGATTCTCACGCAAATAATAGAAAATATTTCACATATTTCACAAATGATCTCTATCTGCACACGTGTCTCAGTGTTAGTGGGAGGAAAAGGAATAAATGACTAATTTATCATAGGAACACGTGCAGTTCATGCTTGTTTATTCTGTTTGCGTGTTTCTTTAGAAACTTACAGTTTGAGTGAACAAACGCCAAACTTCACGTGTGTACACACGACACTCCACACCAGCGGCGCGCGATGGGAATCGGCCAAAATCGAACTCGTGATTTCTTTAATTTGATGTAAGTGGTGTGAGGCAGGTAAGAGCTCACGCGCTGTATGAATGTTACAGCTACGCCTGCACCATAATGTCATAGCATGTTTATACATGACTCATTGCTTTGGATGCAGCACTTTATTTGATTGATGTTATTTAAAGAGGCGGTTAAAGTATTTAAAGTGGTCAGTTAAAGAGGAAATGATGTCGTTTATACTGTGATGTTGGTTCAGCTGTGACTTTGGCTGATGGAAAGTGCTGGAAATGTGCTGATGTGTTTCGTGGGTTTATGTCGCCCTCACAGTGCGAGTTTTAGGTGTTTATAAAGGTAATAATTATTATAATAAAAGGCCTAGAAATGGTCAATTTGGCTGGAAAAAAGTCAAAGTCTGGAAAAAAAACATGACCGGTGCAGCTCTGCTATACACGTGCTATACATTATAGTATATAGTATATTATTCTGCATTATATAGTGGCTACATAAGTTCTGAATTTAAAATATTCATATAAATGCAGAGTATAATTCATAAAACATATACACACGCCATATTACATATACGTAATTACCCATATACAATAATAATGTTACAATACAATAATACAATTACAATGATAATAATAATAATAATAATAATGATACAATTGCAATTTTATATATATATATATATATATATATATATAACGTGTGAGGGTGTGTGTTTGTGTTCCTGTGCATGTGTGTGTGAACCTGGTTAGCGCGCGCTCTGTCGTCCACCTCCAATCAGTCATGAATGAAAACGCCATTTAACATTTCCTGATTAGAACTGCGTGGGAGACCAGCGGGTCCTGTGTGTGTGTGTGTGTGTGTGTGTGTGTGTGTGTGTGTGATTTTCACTCTGTATTTAATCCTATTGGTCGACACTTCCTAGGCCCCGCCTCCTCTCTCTTAAAGCCAATAGCTGCCCACTCCCCCCCCCTATATCTTTTTCCAAAGTTGGGCCACTTTAACTCCCCCCAGCCACGAGCAGGAGCAGCTACGAGCACTAACACACCCCTCACTCACTCGCACCCGCACACACACACCGTTACCGCGCTGTCCTGAGCGCTGTGGTGCCCTCACCTCTGCCCTGCACTCTCCACTCCTCCCTGACTCTCCTTCATCACAAAAAAAAAAGAAAAATCACAGCCTCTCTCACTTCCCCCGCTTCTCCTGGGCGCAGTGTCCACTGCTGTGGCTGGACTTTCGTTTTCTGGTTTGTTTTTTCTCTTTGTGAGAGGTTGGAGCTGCTGTAGATCCTCTGTGAAGGCGAGGCTGGAGCTATCTGTGTGACCGCTGCGTCTCTGACTCACTTTATTTTTTTCCGCTTTTTTTTGGGAGTAGCTGGAATGGCTACTTTACCAGGAACAGTTCCTCGCATGGTCCGGCCAGCACCAGGCCAGAACTACCCCCGCACCGGATTCCCCCTGGAAGGTAAACTCTCAGCACTTCTTCACAAAGACTTTTCAGAGGCTACAAAACTTTTACAGAATTATCATGAAAAGTGTTTTTCTGAGACTTTGCAAAAAATTTTGCAAATAATATTTATAAAAAAAAAATGTCCAAAAATATTTTGACGAAGATTTCACGAAGATTACTTCATAAAGATTTTGCACAAATATTTTTAAACAATTTACAAAAAAGTGTATATTTATCTGAATTTGAAATATATTGTAAAAATGATTTTACAATTTATGATTTCGCACAGAACATTTAACAACGATTGTATCTGCTCAGCTAGCAGCACCAGGAATTCCAGGTATTTTATCAGCTCATTTAATTCTTTTTCAAAGCCGGTAAAATGCAGGCGAATGTTGTGGAGCGAAATTTGTATTTATAACTTAATAAAATAAAATAAAATAAAAAAATCAGGAAATCGAATTAAAGTCGAATTAAAATTAAAGTCTAACCATTTATTTAACCACAAAAACTGCACGTCAGCTTTTGACAAATATTAAACATTTCATCACCTTTAAAAAGTTTGGAGAAAAACTTCTTTCAACCCCTTTTTTAAGGTAAGAAAGTTGGAAGCCATTTAACCCAAATAAACAATAAAACAGTAAAACTTTCAGTTGCTGAAAGTGGCGTTAATTTCAATCAGACAGGGTCTTTTAGACTGTAGTCAAAGTGCTTCATCTGTTTCAGCGCCGGAAATAAACCGTGCACACACACGAAGGCGCTGAAAAGGCGGCGTTTACTCTCTCTGAAATGGGAAATCTTCCCAAAGAGAGAGAATTCCGTGCTTAAGAGGCGCTGAAGGGAAAAGGCGCTCGAGCTCGCGAGTGCTGCGGCTCGAGCTTCGGGATTTACTGAAGAGTCCTGCTGAAATCAAACACACAGCTAAGAGACGGCTCAAAGGATCAGGCCAATATTTGCACTGCATGACTAGGAATAATCAAGGTGTAAAAGTGCAGCATCTTCAGGGGCTGTTGAACGGGAGGCTGGGGTGGGGGGGCAGCTGGGGGTGTAGTGGAGTGTTGTAGTGCTTCAAATGAGAACAGGAGACAGGATAAATAGGACTTACAGAGTGTGGCACGAGCCTGATGGAGAAATGTCTGCAGTATAGCTTTAATATTTACTTTAACGTATAACTGTTATCAGTTACAGTATGTGCTGCAAGGCGAGTGCAGGTCCTGCTGATAGAATATGTTTATTTTTTGATTAAGAGTTTGAAATGATGTAATAATGTAAGGAGATATGTGGTGTGAGATGAGTGAGGTATGTGCCAGAAGCCACACCAAGCAAAATATAAATACAATACAAAACACAAAAATAAAACAAATCAAACTTTACAGCGTGAACTTGGGCACGTGCTTTCACGACTGCTAGTCTGGTGCTAAAGAGTTCCTACTCTGTCAGGCTGGTCCATCAAAAACTGAGATTCCACAACAACAAGTCAGGTTTTTAAAGACATCCTTAAAAAGATGGTTCTTTAAGGTTCTTTAGTAAAGAAAAATATTATATATATAGAACTATGAACACTCGAAGAACCCTTTGCATGATTAAAGTGTTCTTTACATCGTGAAAGCGTTCTTCAGATTGATGGAGAATGTGCTGTAGATGGTTCCACACCCTTTTGAAATGGTTCTGTATAGCACCAAAAAGGGTTCCACTGTTGTTGCAAGCCAAAGGACCTTATTTTGGTACGATATAGAACCATTAAGCAATAAAGGTTCTTGAATGGTTATTGGACGTGCAAAGGTGGATTTGTAATAGAACCTTCTGGTTGTTATGAAACTTTAAAAAAAGTTATTTTCTCGCTCATTTACAAAAAAGAAAAGTTGCACTAAAAAGTTTAAATTGGAGCCAAAAGTGGTTCTCCAATAGCATCACTCCAAAAAAAGCTTGTTTCTTTATTTTACAGAGTCGAATAAAAATAACAGAAAATTGATTCAAAATTCAAATTCTAGCTCTGATCAGCGTCTGATAAAGTTTGTATTTTTGAGGTTTGCTTTTTACTATTTTAAACTCATAATTCGTCTAAAAACAGAAACTGTCCGTATTTGTTGTTTTACCAAACATTTGATGCCCTCGGTTTTTCTGTAAATCACTTTTTCCTGTAAATCAATAAAGAACAGAAGCTGATTTGAAGCTCTGCGTCGTTTTAATGTCATTTTCAACTTTAACAAACTCAGTTAAACCGCTCGTTTCTGTGATTTTAGGCTGAACTGATAAACATTTCTCTCCACTGAGCCTCTTCCTCTCTCAGAGGTGTTGAATGTTGAAATGTGCGTGTTTGTCCCGAGACAGTGTCGACCCCTCTGGGCCAGGGCCGCGTTAACCAGCTCGGCGGAGTGTTCATCAACGGCAGGCCGCTGCCCAACCACATCCGCCATAAGATCGTGGAGATGGCGCACCACGGCATCAGACCCTGCGTCATCTCCCGCCAGCTGCGCGTGTCTCACGGCTGCGTCTCCAAAATCCTCTGCCGCTACCAGGAAACGGGCTCCATTCGGCCGGGGGCCATCGGGGGGAGCAAGCCCAGGGTGAGCGCGCTTAGGGGGCATCTTTACGCCCCTCACGAGGCACGAGGGGGAGAGAGGGAGCACACAAACCGAATACATGTGGATCTGTTCATCAGAGTTTTCATCGCAGTGAATGAAAACATTCTGATGTGAACAGGATCCATAGAGTTATTACTGTACATTTACAGGGCTTACATTTCTGATTATGTATCAAGCTCTCTCTCTCTCTCTCTCTCTCTTTATATATATATATATATACACATACATTTATATATATTTAACATTATTATTGTATATGGGTAATTACGTATGTATAGTAATGTTTAATATTATTAAATATTATTATATATACGCAATTAAATATTACATTATTAAATATTTTATATTACCATATATGTATATGAACATAGATAGACAGACAGACAGATAGATAGATAGCTTCACATCATTACGTCATGATTAATTTTATTTTTTACTTAAGTCAAAACTATTTATAGAATCTATAGGACACTTATAAAACATTTACGACTTTTAGATTTTTAAAATTGTAATTATTTATATATATATATATAAAAAATTGTATATGTTACATATTATGTATTGTAATATATATATATATATATATATATAAAATTGTATATATTACATATTATGTATTGTAATAATATATATATATATATATATATATGTATATATATATATATATATATATATATACATATATATATATATATAATGCTGTGTTCCCTTTTAAAGTGACTTTTAATACATTGCATGTACATTTTAATACACTTACTTACCTTAAAACAGTCAATTAGCAAGAACGTAATATTAACAATTTCCAATATTTATTTGGCCGTTTTAAAATAAAAGTCCGAAAATAAATTACACACCACCTTAAAAGGACTTTTATTTTTCAATTCAATTTCACAAAATTAAATGCGTTTTTTTTTCTTTTCTCCTCTGCTCCGCACGCTGGGTGTTGACCCCTGCAGCAGGTGGCCACGCCAGACGTTGAGAAGAGAATCGAGGAGTACAAGCGCGAGAACCCGGGCATGTTCAGCTGGGAGATCCGGGACAAGCTGCTGAAGGACGGGGTGTGTGACAGAGGCACGGTTCCTTCAGGTGAGGCCTCATCTGGTAAGCAGACCCCCTTTTCCTTCCTACTGAGACTGACTGCACAGACTGTTATAGGAGCTCGAGCTCGTTATGGCGCCCTTTAAACAGCGGAGAAATGAAGGTGGTCTTAGCACTGTGAGATTATTAACGTGGCTGAAAAGTTTGAGGTAATTAAGGTGGTCTTAAATGTGAGGTAATTAAGATGGCCTTCAGTTTTTGGATTTAATTAAGGCGGCCTTACAATTTGAGATGATTGCGGTGGCCTTAAAATTCGCCTTCTTTGAAACCCCAGCGGTGAGTGAACACCGTGTAAAACCCGGATGATGGTGTTATTCGAGCTACACTGAGGAATCTGAGCTGACCTAAATGAATAAGGAAAAGTTATAACACCAAAAAATGATGTATTTATTTTTACTATGTGGGAATTTTACATTTGAAAAGTGGTCAGAAGTTCAGACTCAAAGCCTCTCGGTTGGTGTTCAAGATCAAACTGCAGAGTTTTAACACACTGTGAACGGAGGGAACTGTGAGCTGATGTGTGTGTGTGTGTGTGTGTGTGTGTGTGTGTGTGTGTGTCCTGTGTTAGTGAGTTCCATTAGCCGGGTTTTGAGAGCGCGTTTTGGGAAGAAGGACGATGATGATGAGTGTGATAAGAAGGATGAAGATGGGGAGAAGAAAACGAAGCACAGCATCGACGGGATTCTGGGGGATAAAGGTAAGTGGAGCTGCTGGGATTGTGAAATTTTTCTTTTTTTCTTCTTTTTTTGGCGGGTAGTTTTATTCACCAGTGAGCTATTGGAGTGTGTGTGTGTGTGTGTGTGTGTGTGTGTGTGTGTGTGTGTGTGTGTGTGTGTGTGTGTAAAGGCTGCTGCTCTGTTTGGAGTCTGTTATTTTCGCTGTTAGCTGCTTGTCGGAGAGACTGAGGTGTTTTGGCGCGCTGGTGTGGAAGGTGTAGCTCGAGCTGTTCGTGTAAAACTGAGTGTTTAATTTCAAAATAAAAGTCAGTGAAGTTCACTGAAACTCCAGCAATAAATGTCACTGCGGGGAAAGTGCGCTGAGCTGAGGGACAGAGGGACAGTCCGGAGGGCTGTGGATAGTCTGTGGACTGCGGGGTTAATTGGTGGTAAATAGTTGTGGTAAACGGCTCAGTGGTCAGTAGCTGTGCTCTCAGCTCGTTGCTCTGTTATTTATGTGGCTCCGCTGTGAGACTCTGAGCCTCGTAAATTAATTTGTGGAGCTCGTGTTCCTCTCAGCCTCCTGTTAACGAGCTCTGAAACACAGCTGACAGGACAGCAGGACACACTGTCAGCCAGGACATCACTGAACACTGTTTACATTAGCGAAGCAACCAGACAATAACAACAACAACAATCATAATAATATTAATAATAATAGTGATGATGATGATTATAATAATAATGATTATTATTATTATTATTATTATAGTTGGCGTTCCCAGTTGAGCTAACAATAGATGTTATCGGCAAGTACATAAATTATGGATTATTATTTATTATTGTGATTACAAAAATGAATTTGTAAAAAAAAATAAAGAAATAAATAAATAAATTTACTTTTTCGTCTTCCTCGATTTCTCATTATTGTAATACTTATTATTATTGTTATTATTATTATTAAGAGTAGGAGTAGTAGTTCTTAGAAATTTAAGCAGTCATTTTATTATTAAATGTAAAGTATTTAATCAATAAATGTCACTATTTTATTTACATTAAAAACGGCATAATTATATATATAATACACTATTTGTTCATTTATTTATTATTTACATTATTTTATTATTTAATTTTTTTCATTTATATATCAGTTCATCAAGGGGCTTAATTTAACCCTTTGCAACACAGTGCCTCAGTGAATACAAACTCTCTCTCTCTCTCTCTGTGTGTGTGTGTGTGTGTGGAGGTGTGTGTGTGGAGGTGTAAAAGCAGAGGAAAGCGGAGCAGATCGTGTTGTGACTGTGCAGTGAGTGTGGTTGTGTGTGTAAGACAGTGTTTGAGCGGGTCGAGCAGCATAATAACTGAGTGAACTCAACAGACTGAGGAAAAGCTCCGACTGACCAGTGATCTGCATCTGGACTGAACCGCTGTATGATCATAGCAGTGTGACTTTGAGCCGCTGATAAACTTTGTCTGATGCGTTCTGTCTGTTGGACCTTCAGACAGTACAGATGTATGATTGTGTTCGTTTCCGTGCTGATCTGAGTCGCTGAGCGCGGTGCAGGTGTGTGTCCTCTGATTCTGCTGGTTGTAGGTGAGGAGTTTATTTTGGCTCTGTGTGTCTCAGTGATGAGCAGCTCTTACAGCACTGAGTTCATTCAGCAGTCCGCAGCGCAGCGCTCAGCTCCCCAAAACACTGTATTAGCTTCACCTCCATCCATCCATCCATCCATCCACAGTTTCTCCTCCATCTCTCCATCCTTACAGCACTTAATAACGTTAAGACTTATTAGTGTGTGTGTGTGTGTGTGTGTGTGTGTGTGTTATAGCCCCCGGCTGTGGTACCAAACGCATTTATCCCCCATCAGCCCTCTCTGCTCGCGCTGCGTGAATGTTGAAGGGGTTTTAAGGCCGATTAAAGCGGAGCCTTTTATTTCTCTCACTTTCATCTCTAAACGGCTCGCTGTGGCCCAGAGCGCTCACTTCAGGAGATTTCAGCTCATTCTGTACCGCACAGTGTACTTATTTATTTATTTATTTATTTATTTATTTTTATTTATTTAACCTTTCCATATATTTGTCTAACCATATATTAATATGTAAATTTATCCATATTTACATTCCTTTACTTGCCAGTTCGTTTATTTATTTACTTATTTATCGTTATTTTTTCCTTTTTATTTGTCTTATATATATATATATAAATCTGTTATATATAAATCGCCTATCTATCTATCTATCTATCTATCTATCTATCTATCTATCTATCTATTCGTGTGCCTGCCTGCATGTGTACTTATCCATTTTGTATTCATTCATTTGTTTGTATGTCTGTTTATATTAGTGTTTAGTTATTAGTTTGTTTGGTTTTATTACTCCATTCATATCTCTCTCTCTCTCTCTCTCTCTCTCTCTCTCTCTCTCTCTCTCTTTATTTATAACTGTTTTTTCTTGTTGGCAATGTGGATATTAATTCCACCTCATTTTTACACTCAAAACTCTCTCGTGGTCGTTTTACTAACAATATAACTAAAGCCCGATCACACATCACAATGTACACAAAATAATGTGGACTTTGTTTTGTTTTAGTTCTCATAACTTCTCAGATCCGCTATGATCTGAGTTTGAAGGTTATTTACTTGATCAGGGCGAAGAAACAAATCTTTAGTTCACAGTGAGACTGTAGTTCACTCTGATGGCAGCGTGTGTGTGTGTGGTAGTGAGGAGGATTACCTGAGCTGTTCAGTCTGATCACATAGAGGGGCTGACGGGGTGTTTGGGGGGGGTGTAATAGAGGGCAGGAGGGGAGATGGTGGGCTGTCAGAGAGCCCCGAGCTCCTGAGCTGAGTGTCACTGCGCACATTCAATCATTCAATTAGAGAGAACAGCAGAGAAAAGACACTTAACACACTATAATAAAGAAGAGAGGAGGAGAGCGGAGTGATACAGAGCGGAGTGATACAGAGCGGAGAGCGGAGTGAGACACACATCATTACAACAACATTTAACCAGCTCTAATTACTCCACTGCTTTTACTGATAAACAGTGCAATGAGCTCTTAATAACGAGCAGAGAAGATACACACACACCTTTACCTCTCTCTCTCTCTCTCTCTCTCTCTCTCTCTCTCTCTCGTTATTCTCCTGTTCGGTCCACATTTATATGGAAATATGAAAAATGAAAAGTCTCTCTCCTTCGAAAGAGAAGGACAGGGGGGAAGGAAGCGGCAGAAAAACTTCAAACAAATCCATCTGGAGTAGAATGAGGGAGAGAGAGAGAGAGGGAGAGAGAGAGAGGGAGAGAGAGAGAGAGAGGTTTAGTGAAAGTATGGGGAAGTTCTTTAGTTATTAATAGCGTTTCTCCTCGGGCTCCGCTCCTCCATCTGCACTTTCTGCGGGTTGAAATTGACGGAGCCCCGAATGCTGGGCAGAGATAAGCGCGCGCAGCACTGAGTGGACCTGCATTAAACTGGGATTAACCTCCTCTACTGCTGCTCTCTGCCATTTACACCAACACACACACTGCACTACAGCACTGCAGCTTCCATTATTATTATTATTATTATTATTATTATTATTATTATTATTATCATGATTATTATTATTATTATTATTATTATTATTATTATTATTGTTTGTATTTGTAGTGGCTGAGCTAAGTTACTGCAGGGTTATTATTACTGTATTATCTTCAGATCTGCCCAACGCTAATCATTTATTACAGAATTAGCTGAATAACTCTAATAATTTAGAACTAAAATGACTCTCAACATTTATTCGGAATGATAATAATAATAACTGTAATTATATAATTATATTGTATTATTAGTGTAATATATATATATATATATATATATATATATATATATATATATATATATATATAGTTCAGAGCAGTCATTTATTATTATTATTATTATTATTATTATTATTATTATTTCAGTTATTGTTTGACAGAAAAGATTTCGAACGATACTTTTGTTTTGGAAAGTATTCGCCCACAATAATCCGATATTCTTAACACTCTATTAGTGTCTAGATTATTACACACTAAATTATCATCGTTAGTGGTATTAACTGTTGTTAACAACAACAACAACAATAATAATAATGATAATAGTTTGTCATTAATAGCGTTCTCCTTTTTGTTGTCAATATTATTCTTTTATTCTTATTCTAATTATTGTTATTATTATTATTATTATTATTAATATAATAATAATAATAATCAGCTCTGAAAGGTGGAGATGCTGGTCGGGATGGTTCACAGTAAACTGATCTCCTCACAGATCTTTTGGTTCAGGCTGAAATGTGGCGCGAGCTCTTTGTATTTCCAAATGCGTCTCCTGCGCGCGAGCGGCTTCATCAGAACAGTGCTGTTTTCTGTGGGAATCATTTTCCTCTTTGGCTGTTTGGAGTGTTGTGGCTTTTCACGCGCTGAGGAGCAGACTGGTAACACGGTCAGTCTGATTTAACCCGCGCTCTGCTGAGAGCTCGAGCCCGAGGTTCCTCTGAGAAGGTCTTGTTGGGGATCTCGCTCAGTTCTCGTTTAGTTCTCGCTCAGCTCTGCTCCTCTCGGCTGCCGGCGGCGCGATTCCCTCGCGGATAATTAGCCTGTTGGCCGGTGTGTTGAGCGCGCTCGTGTTGAGTTAATGGCTCAGAGAGATCCGCGCGCACAATTGATTCTGACATGCGTAGATTTCCGTTTTGGTCTCTGCTCCTCTGTTTGATTTGTGAGGGCGGCTCACACACTTGACACGCACATGGCGGGAGCTGTGGCGCTGCGGTCTGCGCCCGTTAAGGGGGGCGCTGAGGGTGCAGGGGTACATACACACACAGAGGCCGCGAGCGTTTCAGCAGATTCAACAAGTGAAACAAAATCAAACTTTAAACACGGTCAATTAAACCGAGTCTGTGATTAAAGTGCAGACAGGTATTAATGACATCACACAGCAGCTTCTACACAGAGCCTGTGGTGCATGCGCGCGTGCACAGGCCGCTTCACCAGCCTGACCAGCGCGTTTGTTTGTGCTCAACGTTAG